CATTAGTCCACTTAAAGTTTAATTAAAGAAAACTAGATTAAATACCATGATTAACTCACTACCTTCTGCGAGATTAGTCTTTTGGCCTAAGCTCTATATTCACATTGGTTTGTTTTTCTCTTTACTCTAGCCTTGCCAGCATTTACCAACACCAAAAGAACTATTGCCCCAGATTCAGCTTCAGTCAAGGAAGATGCCACAGGCTTACCAGAGAATGGAACAAATCTACAATCCAAGAAGGAGGAATATGAGAGCAAAAAAAGCAAAATGTAATTAGTGACTTTACTTATATTTAAAAAATAATAGCCTAACTATCTTTGCTGCCATCTGGCCCAGATTATCTAAAGACATACCTGTGGCTTTGGCTCTTTGGAACCACCAAGCATTGACTAACTTGACAGTAAGTTAGTCTTTGTGAGTGATATAAGTTTAACCAATACAAGTAATATCAACTTAGGAATGACAAGCAGCTCACTTAAAGACAACTTATACCAACATAGAAAGTGATATTTTTCCCTTCGTATTTTCCCTTTTTTAAGTGTAGCAAGTCACAATTTCCCAACCCTAACATGAATTTATAATTGATGCCTTTCAAAAATGACTGGCTAAAAGGAGGGAAAGAGAGTTCCCTAGAGGCAAAAGTTTCCAGCACTTTATATTCAGGGAGCATTTATATACAATTGATCTTTAAATTATTTCTCCCTAATCATTTCTCATGTATTATAACATGTCATGGAGATATGCCTATGTAATATTAGACTGCTTTATACCTGCTTAGCATTGTTATCTTAGCAGTCTATTACTACATGTAGTATCTTAAAACTGTTTTCAATCATTTCTTTTTAATAACAAAAGAATTTATAAATGATATCTGAATCCTGGAGTACTGTAAAGAATTCAGAGCACCATTTGAATATTTATTTGTCTTCCTATAGCCAAAGTCCCACTGTGATCACTCCAGTCATAGCTTGGGCGATCTTTGGTTTACTCTGACCAAAATCCCAGCCCAAAACTCCAGTGTCAGTGGAGTTTACAAGAGTTCTGTGTACTTTGATACTAACTGCTTTTTATATCCCAGTTTTTTCAACATCAGAGTTGTGTTTTTAAAACCTTATCACCTGTATATACTCATCTACCAGTGGAGAAAACTTTATATTAAAATTCTAAATGGTCATCATCTAGGAAATGAATTCTACTAGGCCAATGTAGAAAGATTCTGCACTGAGATAAGAACAATAAAGCAATTCCATTGTAATGTGTATTATATTTTGTGTCAAAGTGTACTTGTTTCTTAAATTTCTCCTATTTCATAAAAATGCTTGTATTTCCACTCAAGATATGTTTTCTTAACTTGCCATAACATTTGAAGGTGTAAAAGAAATGAACCTTCTCTTTGTATGAACGTGAATATAATTCTTACTACAGAACATGGAGATGTTTCATAACAAAAAAGTTACTATAAATTGCCTTACCACTAAGCATACAGCATGGATTTTAGCTCTTACTATATCCAAAACCATTTTTCTGAAGGCCTCTGAAATGCTAGTGATTGTGCTAGAAGAAAAAAGAATAGTTACTAAAGAAAGTGTGCCCATTTCAAAGTGTGTCTGGTATTATGAAATACATGGGAGAGGGGGTGATGGGATTAGGCTAGTTGGAAAAAATCTGCATTGGATTACATTAAACAGATTTGGTTTTGTCTTCCCTAACCTCAGAAGTTTTCAGCGCCATTCATGTGTCAGTGAGAATCCTCAGGTGGTTGCCAGGGGAGCCCTTTTGAAAGAAATAGCTGAAGGTCTTGGTGTTCCCTATGACCTGTATGCTTCTAGGATAAGATTTTAGGACACTGAGAAATTAGTATCTGAACTGATGTTTTGGCTAGCACTATATTTTTTTAATAATGTTTTTATTTTTTGAAAATTCCATACATTTATACAATGTGTGTGTGTGTGTGTATATATATATATATATATATATATGGCACTGAAAATTCTTTTCTGTACTGATGTTTTGACTAACACTGTATTTTAATAATACTTTTTATCCTTTGAAAGTTCCATACATTTATATGATGCACATTGATCATATTTGTCCACCACTACCTCCTTCCAACACCGCTAATGCCCCCATCCCATCTCCCTCACAGCTTCATGTCCTTTTATTTTTTGCCATTAATAACCCCTTGAATCCAGTTACTTCTGCCCATATGTACATAGATATGTAGCTGCCCACTGGGACATGAGCAGCCTTCCACTAGACTCTTCCTCCTCAGCAGCCATCAGCTGCCAACAGCTCCTCCCATAGGGGTAGGACATAGGGAACCCCTCCCTCATCCATGCTAGAAATTTGACTGGCTTGATCTTGTGCAGATCCTATGCAGATAACCATAGCTGCTATGAGTTGGTGGATTTCACAGCTCTTCTCCACATCCACTGGCTCTTATAGTCTCTCCTCCCTTTCCTGCAAGGTTCCCCGAGCTTTGGATGGTTGGGAGGTTTGTGTAGATACCATCCACAGTTGAGCTTTCAGTTATTTATACTTAGTACTTTGACTCGTTATGAGTCTGCAGTAACTACTACCCACTACAAAAAGAAGCTTCTCTGACCAAAGTTGAGAGTATAACAAATCTATGGGTATTAACGTAAATATTTAGAATGAATTTTGACAGCATGACCATTTAGCAAAACAACAGCAGCAAGTTTCTCTCTAGGGCCTATCATCTCCCCAGTCATGGACTTTTGGCCAGTTATACAGTACCAGACATGCAATTCTATGAACAGACCTCATATCCATTGAGAAAGTGGTTGGCTACCCCCGTAATGGTCATGCTACTATTGACCAGTGGGTACTTCTTTCCAGAGGGTCAGTATTATAGCATATAAGGGTCTGGTGCTAGGTAAGACCATTGGTGCCTTTTCTACCCCAGCAACTTGCATAGCACATTCTGGCACTATGTAAGCTAGCCAACAGGAGAGTTTCCTGGTCAGTCTGAGGTTGATTCCACTATGTTCTGCATTCAGAGTGAGTGATGTCTTCAGCAATAGAATCTTGTCATCTAGTCAGGGTGAGCAACCAAGAGCAGGCCAGTAACCTGGACTAACACTCTATTTCTCCTTGAACCTAAATAATAGAAGAAAATAAGATAAAATTAGCTAGATTTATTTAAATCCCAAAGATAAAGATTTAAAAGTTCTTCCTTTTATCTGCAGAGACTGCTTGCTAGCCATACTGTGCAAAAGGAAGCCAACTAAACTTAGGGGAATAATCTGAACCATTGTTAGTATGCCTATGCTCATGAAAAAGAATTACGTCAGGTCACCTAGACCTGAGAGTTTGAGGGAACTCAGAATATTGACTCAGAAGTTCCTTAAAAACATACTAGCTTAAGATTTTATAGCAGGATTCAAAGAGATCTTGTGAAAGACCTTTTTAAATCTGAAAAAAAAAAGATGATTATGCCTATGTTGTACTGTTGGATGAATGAAGGTGTCTGACTTTAAATATGGATCATACAAGAACTTCCATGGCAAAATTAGCTTTTTGTGAGCAACAGTTTGTCAAGATTCCTTGGCCGTCTGTTTTTATGGACTTAAATCCAAGGACCTGTCTCCTCTGAAGATTTTTCCCTTCTCTTGTAGTTGTCCTGAGCTTCACTTGGAAATCAAAAGGAATTCTAAGGAAACACTAATAGCTTGACTTGTACATTTCAAACCCAACAACTGTTTTCCATTCAGTCCTTTGGCAGGACAACCTGGATTGCAGGTGATAGCAACCTTGTTTGAGCTCTAGCTGATCAGCCATATTGCTGGTAGCAACTTTGGAAGGGATGGACCCTCTTCCGTGAGCCTGATCCAAGACTTAATTTGAAGAATGACCTTTTTGGTTTAATAATTTTGATTCTTCTGGCCACCTTTCTCCCTAAATACACTAAATTTCTATTGAAGTTGCTGAAGGCCACTGAGGGAAGAGACACAGCTGGGAGAATCTGGCTGACTGTATTTCCCATTGGCGAAGGTCCTATTATTTCCCTGACCAGTCTCCAACTTGAAGGTTGAAAACCACTTGGTTATATAACATTTTATGTACTTAGTTTCCCAGAACTACTAACCTTATTCTTTTTCTTATAGCTCATCTATTTTACCAACTAAGAGATAAAGCTGATAGCTTAATAGAACAGAATGCAGTATAATTAGAAGACTACTTAATATAAACAGTGCTTATCTGCTGCTCCCTTCAGGAAACAAGCCATTCTCCTCCTTGACACTGTGGCAGATCTTTCTCCATTGTGAATCTCAGTTCAGTGGTTTGCAAAGTGTATTTACCATCACAGAGATTGGGTTTTTTTTTTTTTTTCCTCTTACCTTGTCTATAGTGACTCTTACAGTTAAATAACAAACATATTTTAATTGGGGCAAAATTCTTACATATAATAATGAGATGGTATATTTACTTGGCAAACCCTTGTCCAAGAAGGGATAAATTCCTCCCATTTTCCTTAGGACTTGAGCTTGTCACAGACACAAGTACACATCATATGGTAACCAGGAGTGATTGTTGACTAATATTCCTTCTTGAAAATTCTTGCTCCACTGCTCCCATCCCCAAACAAACTAGCCCTGTATTTTCTCCCATTTTAAACAAAACAAAACAAAACAAAACAAAATGTGTGATTTTCACGGCCTTCAAATGAGGAAGTAGTTCTCATGAAAGCATCTGGTTTTCTTGGATCAACACTGAAGCATGAGCCTCAAACTGGAAAACAAACTTGGGAGTTTGTATATAAAGACATTCCATGCTCCAAAGTATGATATAAAAATAGTTACATCTTTCAACTTGTAAGTTTTCCAGTGTTTAGCACTAGAAACGCACCCGCTTATCCCTATTTGAAAAAAGAGATCTAGACCATGAAAGATTTCAGTTAGTCTCATTTCCTTATAAATACAACAGGTCTAATTTAAGGGTAGGAAAAATGCATATATGTGAAGCAAAACTTCAGATTCCAAGCCCCCGAATGCATTTCAGAGAAGTCACTCTTGCTTTTGATTAGTAGCAAAGCAAACCAATCTGCTCTGCTGAGAAAAAAACAGCTCTATCCTCTCTCCAGCCTGGCTTGCCCCATCCTAGCTTCTCCTGCTCTGTCTGTGCCTACATCCACATCCCACCCAAATCCAAGCCCAACACGGGTCGCTTACTACTCTTCCAAGCCAGCTGACCTCTAAAGTCCAGTAGCCCTACAGTCCACATGGAGGGGCAGAGTGGGGGCTTGTAGCACCCGCAGTTATATTATCAGCATGTGTGTGGAAACCAGAAATCGGGTCTATCTCAATCACTTCACTCTATTTTGGGAGATGTGATCTCTCATTGAACCTAGAGCTCTCTGATTCTGTTAGAATAGCTGGACAGCAAGCTCCAAGGATCTGTCTGTCTCCCACTCCCCCCATCTCTGAGCCTATAGGCCCAATATGTCACACGTGGCTTTGATGTGGTTGCAGGGGTCAAACTCAGGTTCTTGTACTGCAAGCACTTTACCTACTGAGCCACCTCTCTAGCCCCTTATGGATGAACTCATAGGAATACTTCTGTGACTAGCTATCCTTTTCTTTCCTCACACAGCTCAACATATACTTATGTGCAAAGACCTGTGACAGGTGGGAATGCCAACTTGCCCACCTTTCTTTATGCTCAATTGCCATGTCCTATCATAGATGCTGTATTTTTTCTCAAATTCACAGATGCTAGACCATGGTCCATCTATTTTCTGTCATCTTGCCATAAATCTCCATGATCAGATATCCTCTCCTTTTAAAATTTTCTCAGTAAAGCATTTTGACTGACGTTATTTAAATAAAAACAAAAGTCACAATTTATCCTTAGATGTTAGAACTGTGTGCCATTTTAGCTTTATACTTCATTGGAAATAAAATATCAAAACCCTGACTTAAAGCAGCTTTTGTTATTAAATAAAATCAGTAAATACTAAATTACCAGCAGTTCAGTTATAATTTTTTAAATTATGATTACATTCATCTGTCTCTCTGTCTCTGTCTCTCTGTCTCTCTGTCTCTCTGTCTCTTTCTCTCTCTGTGAGTGTGTGTGTATGTGTGTGTGTGTGTGTGTGTGTGTGTGTGTCTGGGTGTGCACGTGCCGTGGAGTGCATGTGGAGGTCAGAGGATGGAGTTGTGGAAGTTGGTTGGGAGTTGGTTCTCTCCTTCCACCACATGGGTGGTAGGATTCAAACTCAGGTAATCAGGCTTGGGGGCAAGT